GCGGTGCGCCTCTTGAGCTCTGCTGATTTCCCGTGGCTACGCGACCCGCCGCTCGGCCTGCTCGATGAGCACGGCGAGTGCTGCCCGTCAGAGGAGAGCCTATGCCAGCTGCAGCTCGCCGGCATCGCCGTTGTCTCGTGGGAGTGCTCGCATACCTCCGAGCTGCGTCGCCCCGGCCTCAGCGCCGCACAGGCCGCCGCCGCCATCGCCACCACCATCCTCGCCGCCGCCGGCGACACCGGGGAACGCGTATCTAAAGTCCGTCAAGTGGACCTTCAACCTTTTCTGCAACGTTGACGATAAATCCGCTGACTGCGATTCGCAGGCATCGGGCGGGAGGCGCAGCCTGGCGGTGGTGACCTGGCCGACTCCGAGTGAGTACGACAAGAGGCTCCGTGACTTTGTCATAGACGCTCTTGAGCAACGAGTCAGCGGTTGCCAAGCGCGTGCTTCACAGAACCCACCCAACCCGTGCTTCACAGATGGCAACCTCTTTGTGACCATAACCCAAGCTGGCTCTGTCCCGGCACCGGGGGACACCGCCCTGGTGACGTTCGTGGAGACTCCCTTGGCGCCAGACGAGACGGAGCCAACTGCAGCGACGGTGCTCCGCCAGTCTGACACGACTGGTTTTCCCAATTTTCTCTTGTCGGTACGAATCGACTGTTCCCTCGACGAGACAAGACCTCCTGTCTGTAATGATAAGATCAGCTTCGTAATGCGTCCAACAGCTGGCGAGACCGAGTACACCTTCCCGCCACCGAGGCCGCCCGGGCAGCCAACCTCTCCGCCGCTGTCGCCCGTCTCCCAGGGACTCACACCGAGCGATGGCGAGGGAGCCCCCCTCGCTGTGATCGGCGGCGCAGCCGCGGCCGGCGTAGCGGCCATCCTCGTCGTCGGCCTCCTCCTTTACCGTCGGCGGGCGAAGCGGGCGCGGGAGGCGAGGGACCGCGGCTCCGCGGTCTCGGTGGTGGGGGCCCTGCCGGGAGACAGCCGCTCCCCTGGCGGAGGACCCAACCCGAACGTCTCCATGTGCCCGTCGCTGCCGCAGTGCGCCGCCGCCGGGCGCAATCTCATGTACTCGTCTGGCGGCGGCAAGTCGAGCGCGTCGAGCGCGTCGAGCGCATCGAGGGGAGGGTCCAAAGCACCCATGTACTCGTCCGGCGGCGGCAAGTCGAGCGCGTCCGGATCGTCCGGGGCGGGGGCGCCCAGCCCCGGTGGGGCGCTCGCGTCCGCAGCGGGCAGCTTCGACTCGAACGACTCGCAGTCGGCCATCACCGCCTTCTCGCGCTTCGAGCTCATTCCGTGGGAGGACTGCCACCTGGCGGAGCTCATCGGCTCGGGCGCGGCGGGCGACGTCTACCGCGCCGAGTACTCCTCGACCGACGTGGCCTGCAAGAAGTTGCGCGTCAAGCAAAAGATGACGGCGCGCGAGATGCAGCTGCTCGTCGAGGAGTGCCAGCTCGCCCTCAAGCTGCGCCACCCGAACGTGCTCCTCACCCTCGGGCTTGTCTCGGACGGCGAGCGGAACCACGCGATCCTGACTGAGCTGATGGACCTCGCGCTCGACGAGTTCATCGACAAGGCGACGGACCGCGAGGCGACGCTGTCGCTCACGTCTCAGGCCAGCACGTCGGGCGGCTTTGCGCTCCCGCAAGCTTCGCGGCCGACGTGGGCAAACCCGTACCTCTCCATCGCCTTCGACGTGGCGCGCGGCATGTCGTACCTCCACAACCACCGCGTGATCCATCGCGACCTCAAGCCGGGCAACGTGCTGCTCAAGCTGCCAATGATGACCGCCAAGGTGGCAGACTTTGGCGCGTCGCGCGTCAAGCCACTCACCGCCGAGGCACCGGGCGCGCGGCGTGGTCTCGGCCTGGACGCGCTCGAGAACGCGCGCGGCCTCGCCTCGATCAACATGACCATGTCGATGCAGGGCACCCCCGTCTACATGGCGCCCGAGGTGCTTCGGCAGGACAAGTACGGCAAGCCGTGCGACGTCTGGTCCTTCGGCGGGCTGCTCGTCCACATCGCCACCCGCCGGCCGCCCTTCGCCGCGCTGCTCGAGTCCGGCCACATCTCGCCACTCGACCTCCTCAACAAGGTGACCAAGGGCGAGATGCAGCCGACCTCCAACCCCGGAGGCCTGCCCGGCGTGCTCTGCTTTGCGCGGGCAGAGTGGCCGCAGGCCGTCGCCCACCTCGCCGAGGCGTGCTTCGCCCTCGACCCGGCGGAGCGGCCGACCTTCGAGCAGGTCGCGTACGACCTGCAGGGCCTCTGGCTCGAGCTCCACCCCGAGGCATCCGGCACACTCCGCAAAAAGGAGCGGCCCTCGAAGGCTCCGCGCTACTCGGACGCCTCCGTGGCCTCCGAGGCGTCGGGGAGGCAGTCGGAGCTGCTCTCTCCGCGCGGCGACGCGCCCGCAGCCCCGTCCGGGAGGGAGAGGCCGTCCGACCGCCGATCGGACCGGAAGTCGCGCGCCTTGGAGCGCGACGCAGACGCCGACCGTCACTCGGACCGAAAGCGGACGTCCGCGGTCTTGCGGGAGACGGACGCGGCTCAGAAGCTGACTCAGAGGCGCGGTTCGACTGAGGCGGGGTCGTCGAGCGCTGCCGACGCGGCGGCGGGCAGCTCGGGCGACCGCTCTCCTCCTCTTGCGTTCTCTCCTCTTGAGGCCGGCACGGCGCGATCGGCGGCGGCGCCTGGCGCTGCGGGGCCGTCTGGCGCCGTCAAGCAGCT